TAAATGGCATATAGTAATAGGATCCTGGATTCGAGTCTCCGACACGCAGCAGACATCAGTTCCCCAAGAGTCCATTGTACGCGCCAGACATGCTGGTTGATCTACCTGAAACAGAGCCCTCACGTTGAAGGCCCCCAGATTCAGTGATTGACGAGGCTTCAGAATATGCAATTTATTTTGTGGTAAACTACTTACCGAGCTACTTGGCAACGAACTTTGGCCATTGACGAACAAGTTGTCTGAGGGAAAGTTACGGGTTGGAAGAAAGGGTAAAGGGAGAGGGTTGGGTAGAGAAGATAAAGAATTAGATAAAGGTTCGGATATCTGAGCAGTGGCCCACTTATCACTAGCCACCGCGCTCAATGCAATGGACAGCGCGGTCCTGATTATCCTGCGCGACGACCGATGCAGTATGGAATTATTTTTTGTTTGTGTATGTATTTGAGTTTGATGGACGGGTACTGCCAGGGTGTCCAGCCACTAAGTAGGAGAACGACTAGGGTTTTCATCCAAAATCTTCAGTTCTAACGAGAACCTGACCGCAAGGCAGCGGGTAAAGCGAATTAGAGACCCATTTACTTTCATCAATTACTCCTCTACCATTTTACCGCCTGAGATGCTAACTCGAGTCGAACCCCCAACCTGGAGGACCAGGAGACTAGACTTCGTCTGGCCTCTACCGATTGACCTTCCAGGCATGATTAGATCTTCGGCTTGACAAAAGCCGTCCCGTATAGCTCGTTGGGTCAGAGAGGTGCACAAACAATCACGGCGTGTCAAGGTGCAGTCTGGTCGAGGACTGCTTTGAAGACATCCGTGGTCGAATATAGAAAGTCCATTATCATCATCTTGGAGAGATCCGATCTCACAACCGCAAAGAAGAACACTACGGACCGCAGCGATGTACACCCTTTAGGAGATAGTCGGATGTCATGGTGGTGCAACATGTATCGCAGGTTGGAGAAAGTTGGTCTAGCTTTCTCCATTTGTCATGTTACGTCCTACCCAATGCCTGCTATCAAACCTTTGAGATACTTAATTCTCTCAACCACCTCCAACTGAGCACAACAGAGAGTGAATGCAAACACACGTCCCCGCCAGTATGGAATACGCACTTTTCATTTGTAAGGTGCAAAGCACAGACCACACATGAATACCTCGATGGTTAAGCGATTTCGAGCTTGCTGGGCGATATTTGAATTATCAATCAGCAAGGCGATGCCATCAGCATACGTAGTTGTACTTCCAAGTGATTTCAACGCACCAACAGTGAACAGCAAGCCAGATTCTGGCCTGGGAGTTTCGTCAGGCCCTTGAGCTGCGTCACACTCACCGTCGACCAACGATCGCTGTGTTCCTTGCCCCGAAACGAGTCTCCAACTCAGTTGACCGCGAAGTTCTGATGGACTCTTCGAAAAGAAATGCCCCAGAAATACGTTAACCTACGGAGGTCACTGTACTCAGATACCTCCGGTCGTGTAAGGGTCTACAACGAACTAAGTGGGCTGTTCGTCACCAGCAGCGGCTTTCGTCAAGGGTGCCCTCTCTCGCCGTTCCTGTTCAATTTCGTCGTAGACGAAATACTGGAGAGCGCATTAAGGGGACTCCAAAACGTAGGTATTGAATGGACAGGTGGAGAAAAGCTGTGCGGTTTGGAGTACGCCGATGACATCATCTGTCTGTTCGAATGTATGGAGGACGCGCAATGCGCACTTGATAGATTAACAAGCGCAATAGCCACATTCGGTATGTGCTTTGCACCTTCAAAGTGCAAAGTGCTGCTGCAGGACTGGGTTTCGTCTACTCCCACTCTGACACTAAATGGCCAGGATTTAGTTGTGGTAAATTACTTTTCCTACTTAGGTAGTTGCGTGACTAATGACGTTAGTGCAGCAAAGGAGATAACCGCCCGCATTTCCAAGGCTCGAGCAGCATATGCAGGACTGAAACACCTTTGGCGTAGACGTGACGTTTCACTGAAGTTGAAAGGTTGTGTATATTGCGCTNTTGAAGGATATAGCAGCGAACCGACAGCAGTGGCGTTCCTGTTTTCATTTCTTATCAGGTCAGAATGCTTGAAACGGTATGTATGCGGAGTTCGATTGCGTACTCTGTGTGTTGACCATAGTGCCTCATCTTCTTCTCCCTTCCTCAAAATAGATCCAATCCCTGTCCTACTTAGGTAGTTGCGTGACCAATGACGTTAGTGCAGCAAAGGAGATAACCGCCCGCATTTCCAAGGCTCGAGCAGCATATGCAGGACTGAAACACCTTTGGCGTAGACGTGACGTTTCACTGAAGTTGAAAGGTTGTGTATATTGCGCTAGCGTTCGTTCAGTCCCGCTTTATGGTTGTGAGGCTCTGAATTTGCGAGTAGAAGATATCCATCGACTAGTAGTTTTCGATTATCGGTGTTTACGCTGTTTAACCCACGTTGGATGGAGCGAACGAGCTAGTAACGTGGAGGAGTTTGTCAGGTATAAACCTGTTAGCACACCGAATTCAGATTAGTAGACTTCGCTGGCTAGGGCACGTATTACGTATGCCCAGCCATCGTTTGCCGCACCGCGCCTTATTCGCTGTAGCTAATCCGGGCTGGAGGAAACCACGTGAAGGTCAACAGATGACGTGGAGACGAGGCATGAAAATGAACAGAGCCATTAGGTAGAGTAGGTGTCTGTCGCCTTCCAAGTTGGTGTCCAAAAGACATTGAAGGATATGGTAAAGAACCGACAACAGGGGGGTGTTCTTGCTGTCATTTCTTATCAGACCAGAATACTCGAACATTCATGTATGCACTGTTAGATTTTGTACTCTGTGTTGACCATAAAGGTTCACTTTCTTCCCCCTTTTCTTTAAAATACGTCCAGTCCTTGCCCACCTTAAGTATCTCCATTAACGTTGTATGCATTGAGAGTTTGGCAGAGATCAGTGAATTTCGCTTCATTGCATTTCGCTGTAAGATGATGATGCTGGTTGCTCTCATAGTTTACCCCTTCTAAAGGTTTTCTCCTGCGCACATTCTGGTACCACGCTGTTTTAATTTTTCCAGGGAGATAAATACGCTAATGTTCTTTATAATATTTCTACACAGTTTCTTACCAATACATTTTTTCTCTGCCGCTGCAGAAAACGGTGATGAGACTGTGGTAATAACAAGTATCGCTCTTTCCTTGTAACACCATATTACATCGTTCCTATGATTGTTCTCTAAGAGATCTGCAACGCCATCTGGGCTATCTGTTATATTCTTGTCTTTCGCAGGTTGGGTTCTAATCGATCGGAGTGGGAAGCACTTCGGAACATTGCTGAATTACATTCGTGATGGTTCGGTACCGTTACCGGAAAGTAAACGCGAGTTGGAAGAGCTTCTGGCAGAGGCGCGATTCTTTTGTGTTGAGGGTCTCAGACAGCTGTGCGAGGATGCTCTGTCCCGATTGGCATTGAATGAAGATACCTACAATCGGTCAACCATCATCATCGTGAAGTGCCCAAATGCAGCGAAATCCTTACTTCAGACAACGAGAAAGGTGTGTTTCTATTGCTTTTGCGTGTAGCTTCGCTTGCTTTTTGTGGCTTTACTGTTTGATGATACTTTTGCCAATCAATTCAGTATCCATCTGAAGTATTCTCCATAGTTCTGAAGTCTTGTGTTCATATGAAAGAGGATAGTGGTCGAGTCATTCAAATCGCTGTCACTGACGTGCTGCAGGTCCAAAAGTCCAAGGTTCGAATCCCACAACCGCGGTCCAACCTTGACAGTTGGTAATTGTGCTGTCATCAGTCTCAATGTATCGGCTGTTCTGTCCGGGCCTTATGTAGTTCGTCACCCCAAGTACTGGGGCTTAGGTTTCCGGTAACTACAACTGCATCTTAGATCCGGGTTACTTTAAGGTTTATCCCTTGCAATGTCCGTAGGCCCGTAGGCACTAAACTGTCTACGGACAGCACAGCTGAGTGCTATCGAGCGCGTCCCCAGGTCGCGGATAGGAGGACGGCCACCTTGGTGGTTAACCGTGAATAGGTGGGGCTGCCTCACTGAATAATCGGTCGCAGACGATCATCGGCGATACTAGAGGATGTGGTGAGGTTTCGACTGGCAACCGATATCCCGTTCAAATGCCATAAGTGTTTACTGACAGCATCGCGACGTGTGCGAATATGGCCCGCCACCAAATAAGGCCATTGCTACTGGCCTACTTTTACGAGTAGGATAAACTGAGGAATGCTATCTCACGGACACATTCTGAATCCTGGACTGGCACAGAGCCATCCGAAAGGCGTATGAACCGTTCTAACGGTCACCGGCTATTATTGTTACATTATATTTCACACACGTCTGATGCCAGAATGTGTGCCAAACAAATCGTGGTACAATAATCTTTATACAAAGAAAAACGCTGCACCATTTGCTAGTGGGCCGAATACTGCCAGGTTGCCCAGGCCAAGGCAGGTGAATTTTTTGGGGGGATCCACAACCGGAGCCTTTGGCTAACCAAAACCTGACACTCAAGGCAGCGGGGCGGTGTGCGAAAACCGCAATCCATTGGGAGCCGTTGTCCAGTTCATCGGATCATACGTCTTTCGGACGGAATCAAACGTCCAAGGTGCCCAATATACCTCGATGCCCAATCGAGCCGGTGACCATTGTCATAACCGGGAAGGCTTGGGTGAGGTTCGTAGGCCTCCTCTTGGTTGGTTTGGAATCAGGGGTTTTAGCCAACTCCCCTAAGTGAACTGCCAGTGGTTCACCAACCCGGATATCGGCTCTTCGTCCTCTCACTTTGGTGGGAAAACACCTCCGCTACGAGAAGGCAGTGATTAGGACCTCTCAGCAGAGGCTATTTGAGACACTTGGTCGTGTGGGAGCATTTCGCGAGGTGCAAGAAACGGGTGACCAGCCGTAACCCT